AAGGAAGGAAGGAAGGAAGGAAGGAAGGAAGGAAGGAAGGAAGGAAGGAAGGGAAGAAGGAAGGAAAGAAAAAAGAAAGAAAGAAAAAGAAAGAAAGAAAGAAAGAAAGAAAGAAAGAAAGAAAGAAAGAAAGAAAGAAAGAAAGAAAGAAAGAGAAAGAAAGAAAGAAGGAAGGAAATATTCTTCAGTCGTCATTGTGAGTCAATCAGCTCTCTATCTGGAGGTGGGTAGCATGTTTCATCATGAATCCTTTGGAATTATGGTTGGTCATTGTGTTAATCAGAGTTTCTAAGTATTTCAGAAATGATTATCTTTACAATACTATTGATACTATATAGACTGTTCTCCTGATTCTACTCACTTTGTTTGGTAACAATTTGTACAATTGTTCCCAGGTTTCTCCGAAACCATTATCTTCATCGTTTCTTATAGCATAATAGTATTCCATCATATTCATATACAATAACTTATTTAACCATTTCCCAACTGATAGGCATCCCTTAGTTTCCAAGTCTTTGTCACTATAAAAAAAAAAGCTGCTATAAATGTTTTTTTTTTATATAAGGGTCCTTTTTCTTCTTATTTAATCTTTTTGAAGTATAGAATTAGTACTGCTTTCCAGAATCTTTTACTAGTTCACAGCTCCACCACTAATGCATTAGTGTATCTGTTTTGCTCTCCAGCATTGGTGTTGTTCTTTTTTTGTCATCATAGATAATTTGATATGTGTGAAGTGGTCTCTCAGAAATTTTTAAAATGTGCATGTCTCTAATCATAAGTAATTTAGATAATTTTTTCATATGGCTAAATTATAGCTTGGATTTTTTCTCTGAAAATTGCCTATTCATATCCTTTGACCATTTATCAACTATGAAATGGCTCTTATTCTTATAAATTTTACTCAGTTTCCTAGATATCTTAGAAATAAGACCTTTTTCAGATAAACTTTCTGTAAATGTTTTCCCTAGTTTCCTGCTTTTCTTCTATTTTAGCTGCATTGTTTTTGTTTGGTGCAAAAAGTTTTTAATTTTAGGTGATCAAAATTGTCAATTTTACCTCTTGTGAACCAACTCTTATTGATGATAAGCTCTTCTGCTATCCACATAAATCTGACAGGTAATTTCTTGCAGGCTCCACTAATTTGCCTATGATGTCACCCTTTATATCTTAAGTTATATATCTATTTGGAGCTTATCTTGGTACATTGTTCAAATGACATTCATACCCATTTTCTGCCAGACTTCTCAGTTTTCCCAAAAGTTTTAGTCACATAATGAGTCCTTACCCAGTGCCCAGCTTCTTTGGGCTTATTAATCTCTAGGCTTCTGTGTTCATTTGCTTCTGTATGCTGTATACCTAATCTGTTCCATTGATTAACCTTTCTATTTTTTTAACCAGTACAAAATTGTTTTAATGATTACTGCTTTGGAGAACAGTTTGCGATCAGGTGCTGTTATGCCCTTTCTGATCCCATTTTTTTTCACCAATTCCCTTGATATTCTTGACCTTTTATTCTTCCAGATAAATTTTGTTATTATTTTTATAGCTCTGTAAAGTAGTTCTTTGGTAGTTTGATTAGTATGGCACTGAAAAAGTAAAATAATTTAGGTGGTATTACCATTTTTAACATATTGACTTGGCCTATCATGAGCAATTAATATTTCTCTAATTATTTAGATATGCCTTTATTTGTGTAAAAATATAATAGTGGAGTAGTGAGTCCCCCTTCATCAGAGGTTCATAGGAGAAAGGTAGATGACCCCTAGTCGGGGATGCTATAGAGAGCATCCTCAATCAGGTACAGGTTTCACTAAGTGGCCTCTGAATTCCCATCTGATTTTGCAACCATGAAGATTTACAGAAAGATATAGACAAGAATTATACAGGAGGAGAAGGGAGGAAGAAAAGGGAGGAGAGGAGAAGAGAGGAGGAAAAAGGACAAAAGAGAAAAGACAGAAAGAGA